AGCTGCTCAGTGCTCAGCTATCAAGGAGAGAGCGCAGAGAGCGGGCTCGCTGTCTGTTACCGGTGCAGCTAGGATGATGCCCTGTAATCACCCGGTGCAGACGGCGACCGGGTCACCGGCACGGCGCCCCGGGCTAACAGTCGGTGCGGCGCCAATACACTGCTCGACTGCAGAACACCAGACCGGGCGACGGCGTCATAGCGTTCAACACGGCGGGATTAGAGTCACCGTGAAGCGCCGCCCTGGATCACAGCCCCACAGGACTGAACCACTGAACAACAGAGCGGCATGCCTTATGGCGGCTGAGTCGCAGCACGTGATTCAGTCTGATTCACTGTCTGCTGTCAAGTGTCAATTAGCGAGCCTGTAAACTTTCTAAAACTTTTTTTTTCAGCTCGGTAACAAACCGAGTTCTGACGTTATCGTGGTGAGCTGGCGTGAACGTATAGACAAATAGTACTCTTTTACCGCGCCAGTCAGTCTCTGAAGTGGAATGGAATGGAGCGTTGCATGCGGCTCAGGAAGTGCAGTAGCATAATTGATAGTTACCTGTCTGTACCGAAGAAAGCGAAACCCGAAAGCGGAATGAGCTTATCGTACAATTTGCTAGTCGACTATATTCACCTCATTTTTTATAGCACACTGTCACCCATGCCTCTGAAGATTCCAACCGCGATCAAGTCTGTACGATAAAACACAGACCACATGACGGTGCACTCCCTCCCCATACGCAGCTCGAGGCACTTCCTCACCGAGTTCAAAGCCTCTTCCCACGCTTCCCCCTCTCTACTCCCTCCACAGTCCACAAGTTACGCACAATGGTCAGTAAAGGGGTGCCAGTTAAATCCACCATAGTGGAGCCTTTGGCCGAAGCCCTCTCCGGCCGCGGGCACCCCGCCGGTGCCAGGATGAGCGGCCGAGCGTGCTGTTTGTGTGCCGGTCCTCGCCCCGGGCCCTCCAGCTGGAACCAGCGCACATTCCCTCTCCTCTGAGGATCGGCCAGGAGCGGCGCCAGGTCAGTCCGGCGCTGCGGACCCGTTCGCCGCCCTCCCGGCCGACCTGTGAGCCGCCTCTGCCGTCCTCTGAGCCGAGATGGCGATCTGAGACGGCGGCCGATACCCTTTCCCTGTTTTGATGGTTTGCTGAGGCCCCGACCCGGAATGCCCCGGATGAGGAGGCCGAATGCTTTCGGCTCTGGAGCGCCCGCCAGACGAAACACCACCATGGAGATTGAAGATGGGCGGTGCTGCTGTTTTCATAACCGCATGTTGGTTTGAAATAGACAAACACTATTCGTTAGTAACAAGATGGTGTTTCGACTTACAGGCTTGATCGGTTGAAATCCTCATAAGCATGGGTGATTTTGAGCTCTGAAAAAATGGCGTGAACACTAAACATGGAACAAAACCTCAATTCTATATCTGAATTGGCTTGCAAAGGTTTAGAGATCGCCCTCTGTTCAAAGTGTGCTGACTGCTAATGCGGGGCAACTGTTTACATTTTGCAACTATTTCAATACTCTCATCCTAGTAAACATCAGCTCGCTTCTTTTTGCGATAGCGGCCCAATTATCACCAGTAGCGTTAGCCTGGGCGCTGGAATGGTCAGTTATCCGTCGTACTCGTAAGTGATTAGTGACGTTTATACTCGCACCCTTTTCTTATCTTATCTCGCCCTGTGTCATGGGAGGTCTGCCAGTTGCGGCCAATGCAAATATGCTCCGCAATCCGCATTAGTTCAGGCCACTTGCTGTCAGATGTCCACTTGTATGCCTATTTTCCTGGTTGCGTTGAATTGACAAAGTGCTCCACCACCATCTATTGTACCATCGCGATAGGATACGATGGTTTAATAGTCTTTTATCTATCAGTCTACTTGTAAAAAATGTTACATATAGAAAGCGGCATTAAAATTCAAAGTTAACCCTCGTGGGCGCGGGGGGCGTTTTTCGCCCCCCCCCCCCCACTGGCGAATATTTGCGATAGCTCCCGAACGCTTAGGAATAGGAAAGCGAAACATTCAGAACCCTTTCTCTTATCAATTTGACATCTTCTGAAGTAAAAAAAAATTGGACCTAGCGCCATTGATAACGTCACAGGGTCGATTCTTCTAGACCCCTGCACGGCAAACTTCGGCGTCACAGACGCGAACTTCAAATAGCTGCTAAAATAGAGTTTGGAGATAAAGACAAATTACGAGCACCGTTATGTAGAGTTTGACCTAGAGAAAAATGGAAAAATAGTTTTGGTGACCTGAGGTCAGAGGTCAGGTCAACGACTCCGAGCTGTGGTTTTAGTTTTTCGCAAATAACTTCGATAAAAATGGTCCTAGAGCTACGGCAGTGGTACTATCGCCTTTGCCTTGTCAAGCCGTGTCGAATGGTATATATTTTGTTTGAAAAAGGTCAAGTTTTATGTTGACCTCATGTGACCTTTGTTTGATCTCGACACCTGAAAGGTCGTTTATGATGGATTCGTACCCGCTGATCACGAATCTGGCGACTATTTACCTCTAAGCCTTCATTTAGAGCCTCCGGATGGCAAAACTGTCTTATTTATTATTACTAGATTGAATCAGCGAAATAGCCTCTACCAAGGATACTCTTCTGTGACCTTGACTTTTGAGCAGCCTTGTATCGTAAGATGAACCACAAATATTGACCTGATAAGCCTCAAAACATTTCAAAACATCTTGAAAGTTAGCACGCAAGATTTACGAAAAAGTGCAAAGTTTGAGGTCATTTTTTAGCATGACTTTGACCTTGACATTTGATTTTGAGCACATTTTCGGAATCCCCAGATTCTCTTCTTACGTTTGGCACCCAATTTTGCCGGTTTTATGCATCCTGCCGTCCTCTAGAACGCTTACTTTGAGATTACTACACATGTGCCGGTTTTTGCCGTTGACCTTGACCTCTGACTTTGAAAATTGACTGAGGTCAAAAATTTTAGATGCTTTAGAATCTCTCGTAACGACCTTTCGTTTGGTATCGCTTTTGTTTCCGTAGCTCCCTTATTTACGAAGTTAGACGGGGGGGGGGGGGGGCGAAAAACGCCCCCCGGCTGCGGTGGTTGGGATTATACCCCCCGGGCCCGGCCGGATTAAAACAGCAACGATCCCGTCTAAACTGAAACACAGGTCGGACATTCAAATGTCGACAGCCCTCATCGGTCCATTCAACGTTGTGTATTGTAATTTGTACTGTATTTACTTCGATTAAAATGCATTAAATTTTCTTATCTAGATATACATAATGGCTAAAAGAACAGCACCCACCTAACTTGGCATCCCCAACCGCAAACTAGTTTCTTGACAAAATGGCTCCCTGAAAAGGCAGTGTTGACAGTGCTGCTAAAAGGGCGAACTGATTCCCACATTGGTTAGAATTTGGTTCATAACAATCTATAGGTGCGATCGCCAGCGTACGGCCCTCCCTCCAGCCTCCAGGTATTAAGTGGTTGATTGCCAACATCACAATAATTCATCTGTGTTGATATTGGATGAATATCCCTCGCCCGCAAACGGTGTTTTGCCACCTTCGCCCATGCAGGGGGGGGGGGGTGGGGCGACCCCCCTGGCGTTTGAAAACGGAGCGTCGTAGAGCTTAGCGAAAAAGACCAACGGATTGCTCTCAACGAGATCTCGCGATTGGTGGTATATTTTTGGGTCCTAGGTCAACATTTGACCTACTTATGACCGGTCAAAGGTCAAATTTTCGGAAAAATCTAACTTTTTCAGATTTCCGCGCCGATTGCGGCAAAACGGTAAGAGATATCGACTTGAAACCTTCACTATCGTGATCCTTGATCAATTCTCTATAGTTTTGTGTGTGTTTCGTTGTCATAACTCTAAAAATGATGCGTTGGGAGCATCGGAAGTCTGCAAGGTCATTTGTGCATTGGGTCACGTCAGGCGTGTGACGTCACTGACCTGACCCTGACCCAAAATGAACTACAAGAAACAACCGACGATGCCTGAAATGGATAGCAAATTCGAATTCAGGGCATCAAAATACCCCGAAAAGGCATACAAGTGCAAGAAGTCATTACAGGTCAACCGAGGTCACTGACCTTACCTTGACCTTTTACTTTAGTAACCTTCAAAATGTCAACGGACATTGTCCAATGTCAAATCAGCCAGTTGTGATTCTAAAACAATCCATCAGTGTGTCAGGTCAGTCGGCATTTATACCAATGTGAAGCAATCTCCAATTTAGCGTAAATCTGGCCGGAGGTTGTTCCCTTTATGACGTCATAACTCCGTGACCTGACATGACCTTGACAAAAAAATACCAAAAGTTGCGCAAAGGATGCCCCAAAGGGTACTGAAAATTTGAGCAGGCTATCTGAAACGGTTCGGCGTGTAGCTAAGAAAAACCTCAGGGGGGGGGGGGGGGGGGTTGCACCAACCCCCCCCCCCTACATGGGCGAGGGATATGTACATGTACGTCTAATGGATGTTGAAAAAATGTTGCCGAAGTGTTAGCACGAGCTCTTTTCTCATTTCTAATAGGTCATTTTACTGGAGTGGCTCTGTTATGCCAAAAGCACATCGGGAAACCAACCACTTTTTGTTGGAGGGCCGTACTTCATGACTTCTTGGCGATGGCCTTGGCAAACCTGTCGATATTCGCTAATGCCAGATTTCGTGTAGGTATATAGGGCCTTGGTGTAGCTCTCAGGACCAGACGACCGTGGACCGATCAAAGCCTTTCCCTTGGTTCGATCGCTCTTATCGACCGGCTACACGACGGCTAACAGGAGCAGGTAGTGGCTAGGTCAAGCTCCGATCGAAACATGCCCCGGATTTTCCGTTTCCAAACCACTAAATCCTACTCCGCAGCACATATGCCTCACAAAGATACAAATCCCCGTTTGCAGTGTGCACGGCCGGTCACGGTGCACGGGCACCTCCGCTCTGCACGCTGATTGGTCGCCGCGCTGTGACGTCCGGTGACGTCAGCGGGCATCGATCGCGGCGGCCGGTCGGAAGGAGCGCCGTGTCGCCGCCGGCCGCCGGCGCTCGGTCGGCCCGACAGTCGAGCCGAGTCGCCGGCGCGGGTGGTGCGTAGTCGGCGTGACGACCGGAGTAGACGGGGCCGCGCTCGGCCTATAGGACTCGTGAGCGCGCCGGAGGACTCCCAGAGGCGGCGCCGGGTCTGACAGTGGTGAATCGCGGCCACGGGCTGACCCAGACTCTGCAGCGACGCTGGCCGACGCCCCGTGGAGTCGCCCTGGCATCGCCGCTGACCGGGAGGCTCGTCCGACGCAGTTCTGTCCTGGTATGTGTCGCTACAAGCGGGACCACGGGCGGGCCTGACGACTGACTAGTGGGCGGTCGCCGGCGTCCCTTGGGCCGGTCGGTCGCCGGTTATTTAAGTATTCTGGGGTCGCCTGTGGTTGATTGGTGAGACGAGGGTCGGCTGGCTGACAGGTCAATGTCAGCGTCTCGGTTGACCGGTCGAAACGGGGGCGGACGCGCCGGTCGGCGGACCGGTGCGGGTGGCTAGTGGGCCGTTTGATTGACGGATCGTTGGGTCGACTGATGGGTCGTTGGGTTGTTTGGTCGGTTGACCGGTCAGACGGTGGGTCGCCGGACCGGTCGGCGGGAGGACGGGTCAGCGGGATCGTCTGGCTGGTCGATATTTTGGTGGATCGGTTAGTGGGTCGGCTGAGTGACCTACCGTTTGGACCGGCTGGGAGCTCGGATCTCGGTTTTGCTCGACCGCTCGTTTTGACCGGCCGACTGAATGGCTGGTGTATCGTCCTGAGCCGCCCTCCCCGGTCCAGTCCGGTCGCCGCGGTCCGTTCGGTCCAGTCCGGTCGCCGCGGTACCGCTGCCGTTGCGACACGCCGCTCTGCTGGTCCGGCGGCGTGCGTTGCAGTTAGGCCGTGTCGGTCAATGTCCCCCCCCCTCCCCCGCCGCTCTTCTGGGGCGGGGGATATCGTTTCCGTCAAACCGGATGCCTGCCAGAATCGGCTGCAGGATCACGTTTCAGTTTCGGTTGGACATCTGTCCCATCAGTCGGCGGAAGCCCGAGTTTGGCGCTGGGATGGTATTAGTTATTTTGGAGAGGCTGGATATATTTTTTATTTTGAATGGCATATTTCTAATATAGGTACTTGCTGATTCAGTCAGCAGAGCAAATTCGCAGTAGGTCAGAATATACACATACAAAACAGCATACAAATAAGGTCGCTATAATGCTTACTGACGAATGAATGCTAATGCTGAAATGCTTGCCTTCACAACCATACGCGTCAGATGTTGGTGTGTGCTTTATGTCGCTTCTGAACCATTTCCGAAACCGATTGAAGTTATCTGTTTTGGAAAACACGGAATAATGAAAAATATATGCGCTGCTTATATTTTTGATTCGTTCTTGACGTATTATAATAACCTATCATTTTTTTAGGCGTTGCTAGTGGTAACAGATGATGTTTTCCGTTGCCAAATCATTTGAAGTTATTTGTGTGTGTTCAAAATGACTGGTGCTTTGCATTATGGGTGGGTTGCATAACAACGGCCCATGTTCCGTGCTGTTAGATATTTGCTGGAAGAATGTCTCAAGACGCATAGTTGCCTTTGGTATGCGTAGGTATGCCAGACGACCGTTGTCAATGACATGGCCATGGGGCAGTTTCAAGCGGAATCGGAATTGTGTAGCGACATGTTAGCAGGGTCATTTTTTGGTCACTTATAAAACTATACAAGTCCCTATACATTTAGCGGATTAAATTCAACTCATAGAGCTCTTCGTTAGTTCAGGTAGGTATGTACTGTAATAATTGATAGAATCAGTGTTTAAAGAGACTCCGTAATGAAACTGACGTTGCTTTCGGAGTTGAGGAGTCGAGGAGCCAGCATTGCCGTTCAGGGAGCTGAAGTTCATTTCGTGAAATTCCAATGTACTGTCCTTCCGAGGCCGCAATTAAAGTAGGTGCAATTAGGCTGTTTCCGATTGGCAATTTGTTAAAGGGATGTGGATCAAGTGCAACACTAAAGTCATTCTTATATGCATCCTACAAAAAATAGAGAAGTAAAGTAACAATGACAAAAATATATCCCAGTAGCCCGATTGGCAGTTCCATTTCCTGACTTCGCTGATGCTAGCTGCTCAGTTTCCGTAGCCCGGGACTTTGTGTTGCTATCCAGCGCTCCCCGAACACGTGGGGTATACGCACGTCACCACGCAGCTGGGTGGTTCGCACGGTGCGGCTGCAGGCACGCAATCCGCAGCCGAGCGGCGTCATTGGACTGCCGGCGCCCCGGAAATTGATCGGCACGTCGGCTCGGTCATTGCCTGCAGCTCAACACCTGCAGGAGCTGCTGTGTATCGCACATACACGTGTGAAGTAGTGGCTCAAACCCGGGCTTATTTACCTACTTTTACCCACAGGCGCACCCGATCGTAATGCCCGTGCAAGCATCTTACGTTTGACGTTGTTTCCTATTACACTCCTACTTCAACGTAAGGTACTGGGTAAATGCTTATAAAATGGATTTCGGCGTAGCACAAATGTCGTTAAGCTTCAAAGGCGTCGGCCAGGAAATTCGGGCTAATTTATGCGACTTCCAATTTGAAATTGCTGAGCATGTTGCTCCAGGAAGAAGGCCGTATATGCATACTCTGTCACGCAAAAGTAAAGCGTCTTAAGTCGAACCATTCCAGCTAAACGTCAGTAGAATGAAAGGTGCGATAGAATGTAGAAGGCGTGTCTTCCTTCAACGAACGCGCTATTTCCTCCATCTTAACATGTTAAGCATTATTTCGCATCCTGTCAGCTTGCAAGGCAAAGCTCAGCCGCTGGGAAACGATTCCTCTTTTCTCTGTCGCGTCCTTGACCGTCGACGACGACCCAGCTCTCGTCTCGACTCAGCTCGGCGTCGATATCGGACCGCGCCCACCCCGACCTCTGGTCCATGCCTTATCACAACTGGGCGGCGACCACCACTCGTTCACTGAGGACCGCTGCGGATCGCCGACCGGGGGAGCGTCGCACTGACAGGTGCGCCGTGAGGTGCGCTGACCGCCTACTGGCCTTTGACCCGGCCGGAATCAGCGGCAGTCTTCTGCGCCGTTATACAGTATCCGTCTGTCAGCCGCAGTCAGGGGCGAAGTTTGGGTTATTCTGTACGTCTAGCGATCGCGGTTAGGCGCGACTACGGACTATACGCCTGCCGATCGCGGTCAGATATTTTTATGGGTTGATCTAACACGTATGGGTGAATGGCTGCTATATCCATTCCACACCTGTCGGCCGCAGTCAGAGGCGCCTGAGGGTTCTGAACACTGTATGGCCTTCACGTTTCACGACCGTGATTGGGGGTGTATTCTAGGTTATCCATTATAGCCTGGCAACCGGGATCAGTAAGATTGGTGAGATACAGATCGCGCTCTCGGCCTAATCTCCCTAAGGTCCGTTATGCCTCGGCGTCCTCAGCATTTAGTACCTTCTGCTATTAGATCGATGGCGTCCAATTATATTCACATCGATTAGCCTAGGCATGTCAACTATGGGCGGTCGAAAATAGATACAGGTGCTTTATTTTTAACCAATGTTTACAGGCCTTAAAATCCCAGACGGAGCTGTCAGATCTAATTCAGGACAGTCTAGTTTTTGTGGTGCTCACAAATATACCGTTAGCTACTACCTGGCTCTATCGGCTGACCGCAGCCGTGGGGTGCCCCGTAGCTGCAAAAGTAATTACACTGCACTGTGATCACCAGTCGGCTGTTTCAGTACCAGAAGCATGACCATTATCCAGTGTAGTGGTCGATCACCCGACCTGACCTTCAACGATCGAGTAAAAACGCTGGAATCCGACACATGTATAGTCGTTGTAGGCTCAATAAGTGGATGTGTAATCAATACTGTCTGTGGACTCACGTAACACGCCCCCATTCTGAATCTAAAGCGCCATTTTTTTGCACTGCTCATCTGCCGTGCTTGCGAAAACTGGCCTGATTCTCTGGCAGTTTATGCACCAGTCTGAACAGTGCTTTGCTGCTCCATATTAGCGTTGCAGACTGTGTTCCTTAGGTTATTTTACGCGTTAGAAATACCCCGTGATATTTTGTTGTTGATTCCGAGAAGTATCTGCATTCTGCACCCACAATTTCAAGAACGTGCATACATATTTTCAGGCTAACCGACTGATTTCCTAACTTTTTCATTTTGCGTCATGTGACGGCCCATGGCCTCTAGTGGACGCTGATTGAGTATTTTTTGCCGGGATTTTGCAAGTCAAAGGACAATGGCGAAAGATATATGGCAGCTCTACTAATTTGTGATCGTAAATAGCGATTTAAATAGACAACCGCAGACATCTCATTGCTCACTTGGCTATTTCACTGCTTTTGCGTGTGCAGTATGGTACTGAAGCCATAAATATTGAATCGGCTGCCTGCCGAATTAGGTGGTTCAAGGTAATCGCCTGCAAGAAACCAATAAGCAAGCAAGTGAAAGTCCTTTCTTAATCTTTGAACATTGCATGGGTGGGATTGGAATGAAACGTCGATCTTTTTCTGGAGGAGGTAGGCTAACATGATGAGGAACTTGGACATATCCAACTATTGGCATGCCTATTTTTGTAAGCATGTGTATGCTCGCTGTCATTGCACATTCTCTGCAACGTTGCGACCTTTGGAAGGCATTGGACCTCACGGCCCTACCTGCTCAGCTAGTAGCTGAAATTTGCCCCCACCTTTAGCATGGGGTTTGAGTTGAAATAGCCAAGTTTGCGGCGAGGTTCAGAAACCACTATCTATCTAGGTTGCAACCCCCGCGGCCTCTTGGTGTTGAAGAAATTCGTTCCCTTCATTTGAAAATGGGCCTTGTACAAGGCCCTATCTTCAACATGGAGCGACCGTTAGTGTGACGTCACCTCGTTTAGTCATTCTGATTTAAATGGGTTTGTTCGTTGAAAAATCGCTTAAAACTTGGTCTGAACTTTGTTGTGGTGCCTACAGAGTAAAAAGAATCAGCTTTATGACAGTAATGTGGCCTGGGGAAGGAGGTAATTTTGGGCTGTGGCGTCACATATTTGAAAGTTTGTGCTTGGAATATGGGAAGCCTAAGATGTTTAATGAAAAATAAATGCCAGAACCGTGTTCCTGGTCATCCAATCTATAAAGTCGGGCACAATTTAACTGGTTTTAACAACATTTTAGAAGGTGGGATAGTCCCTTTAAAGGGACTATCCCTTTAATGCAGCATTTCTCTCTGGATGTGTTTCTCACCGGCCTGCGTTTTGCACATTTGTTTGTTGATTTGCTGA